CTCTCTATTCTACCTTCCTATCTATATCATCTATCTACCTATCCATCCCTGATGCCTTTTCTGACATATTTGACTATACTCCCATCATCCCTATCCACCACAAATTTGTGAAAAGGATGGAAATGTACAGTATTAGCTGTTGAATATCCCCACGGTTTTAGTCATTCTGAAAATAGGATTCCAGTCCTCCTGGCTTAGAGAAGTCTGCAGATCTATTCAGCATTTGGTAAATCAAAAGCCCAGAGAGCATGTAGCCTTTGGGTCTCTATGGAAGTCCTTCTCCATTCATCTCCATAGCATCATCTCTGTGTCTTTCTTGACAGTGTCTAAAAGGAGATCAACAGACTCCACCCGAGACTTTCAAAGTGGCAGATGGCTATCCAGAGGTGGCCGTCCAAATGAATGGGAAAATCATATTCTACAGCAAACATCGCTATCATCAACTTGGAGTCCACCAGGTTCAGGCAGCAAATTTCACCTACAATGTTCTGTATTTAGCCACAGGTAACCAACAAGCAATCTGTAATGTGCTTGCTAGTTTTATAAGATGTGAGTGAACGTTTTGGAAGCTCAACCCTGAAGCTGGAGCTACAGGTTTTCTCTCTAAAGACTAGAACTTGGGGTTGAAAAGAGAGGTTGGCCCATGATCATCCATCCTTTGTGTTTCATGGCTGAACAGACATTTTCTTTGACTTCTGGCTATTTCTTGAATGAGAACTCCTACAGAGAATTCCTACAACCCAAATGTCTGATTGCTGGGATAAGGCCATAACATGGAAACTAGTCAAAGATGGAAGAGCAGGAAAGAAGGGCCATTCTAAAAAGAAGCCCCAGGTTATACTTTAAAACCTATTCAAATCCATTGAAGTGGAAAAGGTTGCCATCTTGAGTCTTGTTACCTATTCCACCAGTAGCAGTTCTCACTATCTGGGTCCCTTTCTTCATCTTGCTAATCATTTTTTTTTCCTTATCCCATATACAGACAAAGGAAGCATCCATAAAGTGGTTGTCTTACCACAAGGAGCCATGAATATCCTGGAAATCCAGCCTTTCAAGTCCCACATGGTCATCCTCTCCATGATTTTAGACCATTCAAAGGTAAGAAAGCCCCCATGGCTTGGAGACTTAATAATGATGAGGTTCAGGTATTGTACTAGGCTACAGTGTGGCTTGTTTAGTTTGGACTTAGCATGTGTTGAACCCAGCTTTGTTGTCTTTGTAAACTGGAGCATATGGTTGAAAGCTTTTTTGTAAAGTCAGCCAGCATAGCTTGTTCAACAAACCACAGTTAAAGCCAATCATGGCTTTTATTGGGTTGTCATTCTCTTCGGACAGAGTGTCTGAAACGACAAATAGAAGAAGGCAGTTGTATTGGTGGGGGGAGGCTGGGGGTGGGCTAAAATTTCTTGCAGGGGCTTCCAGGTATCCTTCTCCTGGGTGAAACCCTGGTTTAAATTTGTGTTTCAACATCCGAAAGTGGATTCTTTTTTAAATGAGCAATTCATGGGTGCTTGGAAGCCTCCTTGCTGTATTTTTCAAATCTCTACCATCTGATTTTTTGTATGTGGCCAAGTACACAAGTACAGTTGGAGCAGTTCTATTGAACTAGGAAATGGTTTATTTCCACATTGGCTGATGGATTCATTCTGATGGGTTCAGGATATCCCTTTGAGAATTTACCCAGAGGTGTCTGCATGTGTGACACACACACTATTGTAGCAGCCACCTTGAATTTTTTGATCGCGTACTGTGGAACACTCCTGAATTTATCCAAGAGCAGTCAACATGGGAGTGTCCAGCTGTTATTGGACTGTGGTTTCCAGCTTCCTTTTCATTGATCCTGCTGGCCAGGATGTCAGGGTCAAGTTCCACAATCCTGGGAGGGCTGCCCATTTTCCACATCTGGTTGACTGTCTCTTGTTGGTCATTTCAGTGGCTGTTTTGTTTTATTTTGCAGAATGAATTATTTGTGGCCTCAACAAATGAGGTGGTGCAACTCCCCATGGCCACTTGTGGGGCATATAAGAACAACTGTGAGAGCTGTGTGCTGTCCAGAGATCCCTATTGTGGATGGATCAATGGGAAATGTACTTCTATTTATGAGCACGAGAATGGGTATGTTACATAATTTACATCATTTGTGTGATGGCATCATGACATGTCTGAGATAATCAGGGCTTCTTAAACCAGACAAGCATTTCTAAAGCATAAATGCTATGCCACTATCTCAGTTTGGTGAATTCATGCAACTAAGCCCCACCAGGTCAGGTAAAGATCTTATAGGCTGTATTCCCACATGCGAAGCTTGGTTAATGTTAACCTTGGCTGGTTTTTTGAGTGGCTTATCCTCTTGCATGAACCCAGCCAAGTTGATTACTGTTGAGTTAGTATATTGTCCTAACCCAGAAAAGTAGTTAATCCAGCAACCAAGTAAAAATGTGTGAGAACATGGCCTTTGACTAAGACAATGGAAGATTTTGACTATGAATCTTCAGCCTGTTTTTCACAAGCCAAATAAATCATGTAAATAATCATGTGACTACTGTATATCTTTTATAGAGATGCAGCAGGTTGATCTTATGATGGCCTCATTTATGAAGGGATATGATGTTTAACATGATTTTTCAATTTTTTTTTAGAGCCTTATTGCAGTCTCTAAGCCATGATGTCCCTCAAGACATTTGTGCTTCTTCAGACTACAGGCCCTCCAAAGGTAATATTCACAAAAAAACTTGAGTGTTCTTAAGAACAAGGAGGTAGGAGGTGCTTTCTGCCGAAATATATGAGAAGGTGTTTTTAAAAAATCCAGTTATATCGTTCCACTAGGAACTGGGAGAAGGAAGAAGAAAGGAAAAACTGAGGTTTTGCTAGAAAGAATGGCCACCAGACAAAGCTTTGAAGTAACAGCAGATTGCAGAAAAGAAGAGTTTTTAATTTTAGGATGACGAAAAAGATAATTACCTGAGCTGGTATTCTGGAAATTGATTGAGGTTTATAAAAATCATCATATTAGAACTCGTGTTTGTTTTTGTTCGTTTGTTATGTTTGCTAACTGCCCCAAACTCTGGGTGGTGGATAACAAATTGAAACAAATCAGAAATTATACCAAAGTGAAATAATCAGTTAAAAATAAAACAGAAATGTGCATGTGTAGGGGAACACCCATGTGCCAATCAGCTGAAAGCTTGTTGGAAAAGGAAGGTTTTCGGGATGTTCCTGAAAGTTGGGTAGCATCTGAACCTCCAGAAGTAGCATCTTCCGTAATATGGAGGAAACCACAGAGTAGGCCTGCCATGAACCTTGGACAGAGAAGGGATTCTTAGCCAGCGTTCCCAAGAAGACCAGACCAGGCCAATAAACAATTTTAGTTTGCTGGGCTTGGCCACAAATATGAAATGAAGTCATCTCATGACACTGGCTTGATAGTAGATGTGGGGCAGATAGTCTCTCCCCAACCCAAATAAAGTATATCATGGAACTGACTACCACAAGACACTAGCTTGAGGGCTTTAAAAGGAGATGGGAAATATTCACCAAGGGGGACAGATATGCCAAGTCCCTCCCGCCACTGACCCGTCCTTCTTTCCTTCCTTCTCCTCAGGAGACAGCAGCAGTGAGTACTTGAAGAATGTCACAGTGACCCCACAGTCCCGCCATTTCCTGAATTGCTCTGAAGAATCTCACTACGCCAATTACACGTGGTACCACAATGGCTGGCCAGTTGCACATTGCAGCTCTGGGCACCATCACTGCCTACACTTCATTGACAATATGACAGATGAGCTCTACGGCACCTATTCCTGCACTTCTCAGGAGGACTGGTTTAATCAGACAGTCCTGACTGAATGCCTGCTGAAGCCCTCTGAGGCCATGAGGTTCAGGTTTGCAGCATCAGTGGGACGGACCTCCATTCCATCTTTATCATTCTGGCTGGGGTTACTGCATATGATAGCAGTAGTCTTGATCATCCAATAAAGCCTGATCTTTTGTGGACCAGCAGCAGGAATGTTCACATCATGCCCTGACTTATTGTATGTTCAGGAGCATCCCTGCTGAAGACATCTCAAAATTCAGACTTTTGTAGAGTTGAACTTTCCTGAGAATCAAAGACCATTGCAGGGTGTCTTCAAAGCAACATCTCCTTGATCTTTCTTGACAGCAGGATGGAGGCAAAGAAGAAGAGATTCTGGAGAAGGAAAATAACTGATACCATCAATATATCAGGCAGGGAGAACATAGAAGCATCTTAATGGGAAACCTTTTGGTGGCCTTGAGACCTGATTAATCTAACCTAGAAAATGAAGAAGAGTTGGGTAGAAGCAGATTAGCATTTAGAAGATCTACTCTTTACAAGATCTCTGCTAGAAGATTGGCCAGTGGCTTTTCTATAAGTTAACTCCTTCCTGTCCTGTCCATTGGTTCTATGTTTGTCCATGTGGCCAGTTTGGGGAACTAGCACTTCTAAGTCTCCACCAGTTGGTATTACTGCTGCTTATTGAAGAAGGTGGCAAGTACCAGCTAAAGTATTCCATGTCAATATGTCATAGACTTCTCAAAATCACTTGTCGTGTTTCTGAATAGTTGCAGAATATTTATTTATTATATTTTCTCTTTCTAAAAGAGAAAGCTGTCCAGCTGTTTGCTTTGTAAACATAAAGTTTGTCCCTGACCTGTATTGTTTGTTCCCCCAATTGTTTCTTTATACACTTGTGATTTTTTAAAAATCTACCTGTTTCCTTTGAAAGTTGTGGTTTAATGTTCCTTAGTAGATGTACAGGTAGTCCTCACTTAACGACCACAATAGGGACTATAAAATTGGTCATTAAGCGAGGTGGTTGTTAAGTGAGTCACCACGTGACCAGACCTGATTTTATGACCATTTTTATGATGGTCATTAAGCAAATCTCCATGGTTGTTAAGCGAATCACATGGTTGTTAAGCTTCCCCAATGAACATTTTTTGCCAGAATTCACTTAATGACCATGTGATTCACTTAATGACCATGGTGATTCACTTAACAACTGTTGTAAAAAAGGTGGCAAATTGCAATCACATGACCGCAGGGTGTGGTGCAACAGCTTGCGACGGTCAAAAGTGTGAGTAAAGCACTTTTTCCAAGGCCGTCGTAAAACACTTTTTCCAATGCCATCATAACTTCAAACCAATGTTAAACAGACGGTTGTCAAGTGAGGACTACCTATGTTCTCAGTTGCCTAAAGATGGACTAGGACAGCTGGCTGCAAATGCCCAAATTTCAGGGTGGTAGATGAAAAAATAAGCAGTGGTTGACCATCTGCTGTCTGGAAGCTCTGGTTCCTTGAGAACAGACCTAAAAGAGGACCAGAGGTTTTTTGTGTAAACTTTTGCAGTGAAGTTGCCTGATCTGGTGCAAAACTGCTCACGCTATGGCGAGCAAAGAGTGATCCTTAAGTCACTTTGCAAGGCTCACTGAAGACCCAACCATTGTTACAGGCTCTTGTTTTGAGAATAAACTGTGAAATGAATCTGTCCTCCTTTAGTTGAATTCTTCGTAGTCTTTCAAGCCAAGAAGACTCTTCTTTGCTACACTACAATTTTTTTAAAAGAGTCATCCCTTATTTAGCTTCGGTAGGTTTCCTTGTTGATATTGTTGTTTTATGATTTCTTCAGTGCACTTTAAGCTAGCAATGTATTATTAACGGATGGGACCCAAAACAGGGGTATTTATGTGGGGGTGGGGGTGGGCTGTAAAAAAAGTCAAGATGGCAGCTGTGTGGGAGAAGGGGCAGGGCTTTAATCACATGGCTGCGGCTGCCTTTTTGAGGGGGGGTGGCACACGTTCCCCATGGACACCCCTAGACCAAAGGCTTACTCCTTTTTGTATTTTGGCTTGCAATTTCTTTGTAGCTAAATGTATTTTTTTAATATAGTGCTTTAAAAAAAAGCAGGGAATAAAATTCTATCGGATTCCACTGAAGTAAAGTCTATGTTTCTTAGCTCTCTGGAGCTTACCAGTCTGCGGCTTCCCTCTGTGGATACTTTGATCTGTCCAAATCTGCTCGCATCGGCACGTGGACGCCTCGAGCGCTCACATGCTCTTTTATTTGGGTAATACGGACATGAAAAAAATCACGCCCAGCCAACTTCTGCTGTTATCCAACTGCATTTGAACTTTAGATAACTTATGCAATTAGCCTGACTTTTCCGCAAATGCAAAAGCTTCCTATTTGTTCTTCTCTATTTTTCTCTGCAACTTAAGCTAAGCCACCTTCTTTTCTCCCTGCATGTTACAAATTCCTTGTAAAAAAAAATTGGCAATGAGATGACAGGTTAGCCAAAAGTGATATAAAGGTTTGGCCCTGTCAGTTGCCTAGAGATGGTAGTCAAACCATAGATTATTTAAGATTGAACTCTTGTACACATCTCTTCAGAAGTCTGCCCAGAGGCATGTTGGGGAGGACTTCTATAGAATTGTTCTCTTCTCCTTTTCCTGTTCTATTGTGTTGGTATTTTGCAGACCACACTAGAACTACATAGAGAATTCCAAATTCGTCTTGCTTTTATCATGCGTCCTGTTTTGGATTTCTTAGTTCCGTTCTTAGTATAATAGACACACAGCTCTCTTATGCTGATGGCTTCAGCTATTATAAGCCTGCCATTTTTCAGTTCCTTAAAAAAAAAAAACCCCAAAAAACGAAAAAGACATAAATAGGAAATGCAGGGGATGACTCATAATGCCAACAAGAAGTTGACTTTTTCTCTAGCATCTTGGCCTTGATGGAAATACCTCCCCTGCTGAATCTGCTAGGGGACCATAGAATTATAGAATGGAAGGGTTGCAAAGCGATCACCCAGCCTTGCACCCTGTCCATTGCAGGAATTCTGCAGTGAATGCTGATAACAAAAAGAAGGACCTCAATTAGACGCACCCACGTTGGACAACTTGTTGATCAAGTCCAGAACTCCCCACTCAGACAGGTAACATCTCCCCACTTATGTAGACAGATAATGCCCTTAGGTGCTGCTAAACTCTTTGGGACATATGCCACATTTTGGAATAACCAAATAAAGAGATCTTGGAGATCATCTAATTCAGGGTTTCTCAACCTTGACAAGTTTAAGACGTGTGGACTTCAACTCCCAGGACTCCCCAGCCAGCATGGCTAGCTGGGGAATCCTGGGAGTTGAAGTCCACACGTCTTAAACTTGTCAAGGTTGAGAAACCCTGAATTAGATGATCTCCAAGATCTCTTTATTTGGTTATTCCAAAATGTGGCATATGTCCCAAAGAGTTTAGCAGCACCTAAGGGCATTATCTGTCTACATAA